ACCTTTTTACTAACAGACGCAGACCAAACTGGAGCATGCCCGCATTAAGGAGCTTGAACAGAGCCTGCTCTTTGAAAAGACCAAAGCTGACAAACTCCAGAGGCAGTTAGAAGACACTAGGGTAATGGTTTTCACTGTTCAATGAAGCGGACCCGTGTATGTGAATGCTGGACACCTCGGGCGACACGCCTTGCGATGGCCTAAGCCTTGACCCAGTGGTTCGACCTGAGTTTGGTCTTGATACTGTTCGTGAGCTTAGACGGATGGGTGGGCACAGGAGTCTTATGTCAAATCTTTGGTCAAAGGTGAAAAGACTCATTCCTGTGCTACACTCAGCCAAAACCAAGATCAGAAACTCTACAACTGTATACATTTGTATACGTGGCTGCATTTGCGCTTCTTCGTATTCCTACCTCAAAATTTTTTTCTCCAGTTCGCCATAAGCAGTCAATTGTCCTCTCATCCCCCTATTCCTAGTCACTGGGTTTTCTAGATACTTTTTTGTTACTGGTATTTTTTTTTTTACTTTAGCTCTTTTCCTGCCTCCGACCCTGGCCTCTTGCGGGAAGGGAATGGAAACATTGATTCTTTTAAGTGAGAGTTAAGGACTTTTACCCCAGTTACCTTCTGTTTTTTTCTTGATACCTGCTTCCTCTTTGCATTTCCCTCCTTTCTGTCACCTCGGTGGTTAAAATGCCAGCTGTAGGAGGAAAGGTGTGTTGGGAACCAGAATGGCTTCTTACCACGCTGAGCCCTCCTGGAGCCATTGCGTTGGTCATGTTTTTGCTTATATGCTTGTTAAACGCACCTACACGGTGCTTACTTCATGCCAGGCACTATGCTGAGTACTTTACAAGTATCAACTTAGTCTCACCACAACCCCAGGTAATATTGTTCCCATTTTACAGATGAGGACAGTGAGGCACAAAGAGATTAAGTAATTTGCCTAAGGTCATACAGGTAATAACAAGGTGGGGCCAAGATTTGTATCTAGGCCTTTTGGCCCCAGACTCTGTACCCTTAACCACAGAGTCTGACTATTATGGGAATAGTTTTGTGATGAAACATTTAAGAAATAATGAGTTATTTATATGGAAGAAAATATGTGTGTGTATCAATGAATTTGACTGTCAATGGCTAAATTGCCCAGATCTTAATTTTAAAAATTACTCTATCTCTGATCAACTATTGGTTATAAAACCTGATTTTTTTCTTTTGAATCATTAGTATTTTTAGAAATGTCCCTGTTGACAAATCATCGACTGATCTAAAAATCTACATAATTGAGTGATTTTTCTTCTCTAAGTCATGTTTTTACTCTTTTAAGAAGAAAGAAAATGTTCTCAGCCAGTCTCAACACTAAAGCTATCTCCTATGTATGGGGTGAGAGAGAAATACCCTAGTAGTTTGGTGGTCTCTCCATTGCTCAAGAGCCAAAGACTTGGTCTGGGAAGTAGAAGGGACTGATGATAAGGCTGAGCTCCACAGTGGAAGGAAGGATAGTTTTTTTACTTTCAAACTCCTCTCCCAAACTGCTTTATCAGCAAACACCTTTGATGCTTTTTTTTGTAGCTGTGGATAAGAAGACATACATTCACCGCATGGCTTATTCACACAGTTCCGATTCAAGATGTCATTTTTCTTTTTTTCTAAATTAAAATTTTTTTTTTAATGGGAGAGAGAGAGAGAGAAAGGAAGGAAGAAGAACAAGAAACATCAATTTGTTGTTCCACTTATTGATGCATTCGTTAGTTGATCCTTTTATGTGCCCTGACCCGGGGATCGAACCCGCAACCTTGGTGTATCGGGACGTTGCTCTAACCAACTGAGCTACTTGGTCAGGGCTCAAGCTGTCATTTTTCTGTAACAAGTCGTGTCTTCTGTCGATCCTTACTTTTGGTCTGTCAAACGTGAAATCAGCCAGTGCCCCATATATGTTGCATATCACCTGTACTCCTTTTAGGAAGCGCTTTAGGATTCCTACAAGCCAATACGCCCAGCTCATAAACAGTGTGCTCGGGCTGTAGAGATCTTAGCAAGAATAAGAAATGACACCTGGCTTTTCTGGCCTCAAATTAACAGGAGAGGCAAACCCATAGGCAGTTTTGCCTGAGGGCAGACTTTGGGAAATTAAAAAAAAAAAGAAAAAGAAATAGACGTGCTATAAAAATGCTACATGAAGTACAGTCACACTATTTATTATTTTCTTCATGTGGCATTTCCTCAGTTTGACTGTTTTGTTCTGCCGAATTAAGAACTATTGCCCTATTGGGTTTATTTGTCATAGACCTGGTAGCAGTGGGGCCTGTCCGTATTCTGTACCTGACTTTGTGGTAACAAACTCTGAAACTACCCTGCTGCACACCCCAGAAAAAACGTTGATGAATTAACATCTCGAATCTGAATCAGCTGTGGCCCCAAAACACAACAGGTATAGGGAGCTCTGAGGTATTTAGTGACTCGATCGTGCCGTTTTGGAGACCCAAGTACGTTCTTTTCCTGTCTCCCCGTGGACATTTTAGTTTTTATTGATACCACAACCTGTACGTGGGCAGAGGAGATGGAGTCAGCGCAGCCATTCCTTCCCGTCCCAGCACAGGCAGTGAGGGGGAGGAGTTTGACTCAGGAGGTTTAGGACTCACTGGTGTGTTTAGTCATTCACACTCCCTTCTATTTCCCAGGTTAGCCAAATGCTTTTTATTCGTGAGGCTACTAATTCCCACATATTTTGTAGACTAATCTGACTGCCTAACAGGTGGCAGAGGGAGATACTTTCCTAAGAAAGAAAGGCCACAGGTTACGTGTTTTTCTTAGTCCTGGGGTGTGTATTTAAAAGAAGCAGGTTCTGGGTCCCTCCCAGAGATGAAATAGAATCAAAATATATGGGAGTGACTGGGCACCTGCACGGTAGACATGTTTCCAGGTGGCTCACGTGCACTGGAGTCCGAGAACCACTGGGTTAAGGGAAGGAGGTGTGCGCCTCAGAATGCGACAGAATTAAACAGCCCCAAGAGGGGGTGCTATGTAGGATTCTTTTATATAATTGCAGGTAAGTCATCATTCTTTCCTTGTCATTTT